AAAAACAATATCGGGTACAATAAAACGAAAGAGAAAGTCATTTAGAAACATAATTTACACTATCAAGACCACGTTTCAATATGGAATCTACCAGCCCTCTCCTGCATCTTAAGCCACCTAGCTGCTGACTCCATTGAAGCACCGCTTTCTTTTGCTATAACTTCTTCTAGGGTAGACGTTACATCTGCTGGCATTTTTGTTGATGATCCAGCCAAGTAAATAGCAGCTCCAGAATTCAACATACTCCAAATCCTTCCACTCACCTCCTTCAGCTTATGTTGCACATAGATCTTTCTTTGTTGATCTCTTGAAAAAGCAACAAAAAAACCCCCTCCTTTTTCTGATGATAGCACGCCATGATTTTGAGCATGGGATAACCAAAACTTCTCGTAAAGGTAATCATTTTCCTGATTCCTACAACCAAAGAAAAAAATAATAGGAGCTGTTGGACCACTCTCGCTCTGCACCGCCCGTTCCTCAATGAATGCACGAAAAGGAGCACACCCTGTTCCTGGACCTATGAGAATAAGAGGAAGTGATGGTGGAGGGGGAGGAAGAGAACCATTATGGATCCAAGCAGGTATATAAATTTCTCTATTATTATAAGGATCTAATCCAGCCAGCCATGATGAGCAAAGGCCATATCTTTTTCTCTTGTATGGAGTTGTCCAGGATACTACACTAACAGTTAAATGTACTTGGTTTGGATGAGCCAAAGGAGATGAAGATATCGAAAATTTTCGTGTTCTTAAAGGAGGAACCAGTTGCACTAACCATTCAAATGGCATTTGGACAGAAGGGAAGTCCTCTAATACCTCTAAGACAGTTCTCCTCTCCTTCTGATTGTATTGATAGAGTTCGTCCCTACCTTCCGAAGATGCAAAATATTGAAGTCTTTCCTTTTCATGCTTAGATTTTGCATAAAAACTCATGACCTCAAAAAAATAACGTCGGGGAGAAGCTGAGGCAACATCCATTGTTAGTGACACAAAAGTTTTCAATTTGATTGGTTTCAAGTTCATGGAGTCATCAACTTGAAACTGAGAAGACAATTTACTTTTTGTTTTGGGTTTTACAGTGATGTAACAATCTGAATCAAGGTTACAACGTTTTATAAATGCATCCAAATCTATGGGATTTTGGGTTGGGAGAATTTCAAGCACATCACCCACCTGATACTCAGAATGAGATGAAATAAATTCGAATTCAAAATGACGCACATCT